TTTTTTTTTTTTTTTTTTTGAGACAGTCTTGTTCTGTCATGCTAGGTAGAGTGCTGTAGCATCATAGCTCACAGCAACCTCAAACTCCTGCACTCAAGAAATCCTCTTGCCTCAGCCTCTTGAGTAGCTGGAACTACAAGCGCCCATCACAATGCCCAGCTAGTTTTTATTATTTTTAATAGAGATGGGGTCTCATTCTTGCTCAGGCTAGTCTTAAACTCCTGAGCTCAAGCAATCCATCCACCTCAGGCTTCCAGAGTACTGGGATTACAGGCGTCAGCCATAGTGCCCAGCCCATCTTGTCTCTCTTTATCCTGCTACTCTACTTTCCTGTTCTTCATAGCACTGACCACTACCAGGCATCATATTTTATATTTATTTCATTCTTGTCTCCCAAACTAGAATGATGGCTGTTTGAGAGTATGGCTTCATCTGTCCCATTCATTGCTGAATCCCCAGTGCTTAGACCAGGGCCATGCTCCAAGTAAGTGTCAGTGAACATTTGCTGAATGATTGGATGAGCAAACAAGTACCATTGGGCTAGAGGGGCCCAGTCCTCACCTGCAGCTGAGCCAGGATGTGGTGGTAGTGGTACAGGGTACAGAAGTCCACATGGGTTGAGAATGCCTCCAAAGCCGCCTTCTCTGCTGGACTTGAGTGAAATTCCTGTTACCTCAGGAAGCAAAACTTCTCTGTAGGCCTTTCCTCACGGGAAGGAATTCTTTCCCTGGTGTCCCATACATACAATCAGAACTCTGGACTTTTTAAAATTTTGTTTTGGTTGATGGGGCAGGGGGATGACCAATTTTACTGAGCAAGAAACTGAGGCAACCTAACATTGTGAAAAACAGGCTTAACTCACCAACATTCGCTCAATGCCTATTGTATGCCAGGAACTGTTTGTCAGCATAATACCCTCCAGAGGATGCAAGAAGGCTGATGGAATTATAACCCCCATTTCTTTGGAGGGAGAAACTGAGACTCAAGAAAGTCACTTGCTGAGGGCCACAACGTCTTCATGAGTTAACTCTAATCTAGAACTGCCTAATTAGAGAACACATATATGGAACTACTTCTATGCATTTCCTATCTCTGCCCTGGGTGAATGTGATCACAGCCCCTTTCTCAGAGGGCTTTGGTGAGAATATGATGAAATCATGTGTCCACATATATACATGTGTTTATGTATGTGAGTATATATTTACGTGTATATGTGTATGAAGTCTAGCACAGGGCTTAGTACATACAGGTGTTCAATAAATGTTACATGAAGGAACACTAATCTCCAATAATGACAGGTATGATGATGATGGGGAGTGGGGTAAGAGCTCAAGTTCTAGAGCAGAACCAGCACTAGGGTGAATGAATAGGTAGCCAGCTCACTCTGAAGGCTGAGCAAAAGCCTCACTTGCCTTGTCCTCGTCCTGAGCCACCTCTGGAGTCAGATCATTGTGGTTCAAGTTGGACCACAATGCTACGGTCTTGGGTAAGTCACTTTTCTCCTGCATGCTTTCAGTTAACTTAGTTGTAAAATGTGGGAATTAGGTTTGTAGTATAGTTTAGGCCAGGCCTTTCTGGAGGGCCTGTTGACCAGAGTCTAAGTTCCTCAAACACCTCAAGGCTAACAATAGCCTAGTGGTCTGACAGGATATCTGGCACCCAACAGATTCGAGGCTAGAATTCTGAGAGTCCAGTTGACCAAAGTCCAGGATCCTATGCTGCTTCTCCTTTTAAGGTGGCACAGACAGCCCATTTGTTACCTGGTGGCTGAGAACAGAAGGCCTAGCAACCAAAGATTATTATTGCCTGAGTCCTGCCCAGGCATAGATAGAAATCAGTAAAATCACTGAAGCAAATTAGGAAGTTTATCCCCAATTTGTAAAGTATAAGTTGTAATCACATGGTGTGCCTGCATAATTTTCCTTTCCTTTGTTTCCCTTCTTCTGACTGTTAATGATTACTTGAGGTGCCTTGCCTTAACTCAAACTAAGCTTATACATTATGCTGGCAACATGTTTTATGATTTTTAATTGAATAAAGAGACCTATAGGAGAATGGTCCAGTGCTGCACTTGCTAGCTGCACTTGAGATGCTGCTGGCTTACTGTATGCCTCTCACAGGCTCCCATCAGTTATTTCATCTGAGATAACTGAGTCTGAGTTTTTTTCTCGCCTCAACTGCCCTCGGTGCAGATCCCACCAAAGGTTGTGGGAACCCACGCCCCCACAGTAAAATGAGGATGACAGTGGATATATCTCTTATTGGGTTGTTCTTGTGATTCAATAATACATGAAAAAAGTTTGTCATGGTCCCACAGAAAAAGGGCTTAAATAGCGTGATACTCAGTATGATTATAGATTTGTGACTATGTGGATATAATTATTAGGTAGTAGAAATAGTACTGACGAGGATGATGATTATACCCATTTTACAGACAGAAAAAATATACCCTTCAGAGTGCCTGTTCGAGCTCCCCAGTTCTGAATTAGGAATGGATTCAAAACTGTCCCTGAGAGGCCTTGCCTCTCTGCTTTACAACTCATCTCGTGCCCACTTGGTACTGTGAGGGGACTAGAAACTACAACTCCCAGGAGGCACCCCTGCAGCAAATAGGGCTCTGCCGCCGCGAAGCCTGCCGGGAATCGTAGTCCCCAGGCTCTCGGACCCAGGACGGGCGGTACCTGTATCAGGAGGCGGAGCAGCTGCTCCTTGGAGAACGGAATGAAGCGCTCGCGGTACTGCTGGGCCCAGTCGCGGGGCTCCGTGGGGTTCCACATCTTGCGATACTCCCCCATCTTGGCCGCCAGCGACGACACGGCCCGGGTGGTCCCAAGGAGCGCGGGCAACAGGGGCCATACTCGAACCCTGGCCCCCCAGGCCTCCCGGGTCACATGCAGCATGGCCCGACCCTTTCCCCAGAGCCTAAACCAGAGGGGAATGGGCAGGAGTCAAATGTCATCTGGAGGAAAAGCGCGTTCTCCATTTCCACGTCCCGCCCGGTAGGGGCCGTCCCTACCTCAGGTTGGGCACAGAGCCCATCCGCCCCACTCTTCGCAGTCCCCTCCTGTACTGCTTAGTTGGCCTGGATCTCAGATTGGGGCCAAGGGTCTTAGGCTTCGGACCGTTTTGCAGACCCAGAGACCCTGTAGTGGGACAATTGTTCAGGGTCTAGATGACGAGGTGGAGCTTAGGAGAATGGGAAATACTCTGAAAAGCTACCTAGGGAGTAGCAGGGTCACCCTCCCCTGCCATGCAATCCTCCTCCCTCTCCCTCACCTTAGCCAACGCAGGACTGTCATTGAGTTTCCTGCGCATGTGCAGGAGGCGTCCTGGATCCCCGAGGTTTGGCTTCAGCCCGCAGTACAACGCATGCGTCAAGAATGGGTCCTTGAATGCAGTTTGTTTCACCCTTACCTTAATTGTGCATGCGCGGTCTGTGTGCCTTGCCCCACCGCTAGCCGCGTTTGGGCGCAGCGCATGCGCCAAAGAAGTGTCTCCTTGGTCGCTTCTTCAAAGGGAAGGGGCGGGGCAGGCGCGGGACTCCCAGGAGAGATGGGGTGGGGCAGGCCTCGCGCGCAGCCCGCCAACGGCGAGCAGCCCAACGTCCGCTGAGGCCACGCCCTCATCCCTGTCTGCTCCTGAGTAGGCGGGGAAAGAAAGGGGCGGGACTTGGGATCAGCCAATCATCTGTGAAGGAAGGAAAAGGCGGGAAAAAGCGGAACCCAGCGAAGCCTGAGGGCGTCTGGGACCGGGAGAGGAGGGCGGGCGGACAGAAAAGCGGGCCTCCAGGTGAAAAGACTGGCCCTCCACAGTAGGAGTGACCCTTTGTCAGGGGAGCGTCACCCCCACGCCCCAGCACTCCCATTCCTCATCCTTAAAGGGGAGACTTCAATTTTAAGAAGGTAGCCTAGTGCCAGGGGCACAGCCGTCTCGTTCTGAGGGGACGGCTCAGTTTCCAGGCTCTCCACAGATCTGAGGTCCAGACTCCCAAGTTGAGGAGATACACTTTTACGAAGATGGAGGTGTTTTCTAAAGGGAGGCCCCCATTCCAGGAGAGAGCCCCAATCTACAAGGACAGCCTAAAATAGGCCCTACCTGAAAGGGATCCCTCTGGTTCAGACCAACCAGGTGTTCTGAGCTAGATTCTGGCACCCCCGGCTCCCCAGAAAATGCCACCTTTGTCCTCTCCCAGGGAGAACGTGGGCCCTAAGCTGGGCCCTCTGGCCCCCATGTCAGGGGACATGGCCCCATTGCCCAGCCCTCTCCGCGTCCCTTGTCTCTGGCTCCCTACCCTGCATGTCCTCCAGCAGCCCCCGCAGACCGCATTTCCCACTTCTGGAGCCTAGAGCACCCCACCACTGTGTCCCCAACTCCTAGGACCCCCTCAGCCCACACCCCTCCCTAGAACACCCGCAAGGCCCACCCCTTACTCCCAGCCCCTGGGACGCCCCCTGCAGCCCCCGCAGCCCGCACCCCACTTCGGGACTCCTCAGTGACCCCTAACCCCGCGCCTCTACTCGCGGGAACCTCCGCACCCTGATACTACGCTCCCCGCTCCTGGGACCTCCGCAGCCCCGACCCAGCCCCCACTCTGTGCGTCCCGCAGCAGCCGAGACAGGGTGGCCTGGAGCCCCCACACGGCGGCGCCCAGCGCCCCGCTCCCGCTTCTCAAGGCCCCAGGAAGACAGTGGCCGCCATGCACGTCCCAGAGAGCCTCCAGGACCTGGCCAACAGCGAAGCCGTCCGGTTCGTGAGGAGGCCCAAGACCGCCGCGCGGATCTGCGCAGGGGTGAGGCCTCTGGGGGGGGTCTGCCTGAGCCCCGGGGGGCAGGGGAAAGACACGGGGTGTGGGAGGGAGGGTTGGTGGGACAGGAGCAAGAAGCGAATACCGCCCGATTCTCAGAGGAAGAGTCGACCCCCACAGCAGATGCTGTAAGCCCGGCTTTTTTTTTTTTTTTTTTTTAATGAGGCAGAACCTCACTATCACCTTGGGTAGAGTGCTATGGCGTCATCACTCACAGCAACCTCAAATTTCTGGGCTCAAGGGATCCTCTTCTCTCAGCCTCCCGAGTAGCTGGGAAGGACTACAGGCGCCCTCCACGACGGCTGGCTAGTTTTAGACCCTCTTGCTCAGGCTGATCTTGAACTCCTGAGCTCAAGAGATCTTCCCGCCTCGGCCTCCCAGAGTGCTAGGAGTACAGGCTTGAGCCACCGCACCCGGCCTGTGAGCCCCATCTTTCAAAAAGGACAGTGAGGATCAGGGAAGTTTAGTAAGTTTTTTAAGTCTGTGCTGTCCAGGCTGGGCACGATGGCTCACGCCTATAATCCTAGCACTCTGAGAGACCACGGCTTGTGAATCGCCTCAGCTCAGGAGTTGGAGACCAGCCTAAGCAAGAGTGAAACCCTCTCGCTAAAAATAGCAGGGTGTTGTGATGGGCATCTGTAATCCCAGCTACTGGGGAGACTAAGGCAGAAGGACCTCTTGAGCCCAAGAGTTCCAGGTTGCTGTGAGCTATGATGCCACAGCACTGTACTCAGGGCAACAGAGTGAGGCTCTGTCTCAAAAAATAAATAAAGCTGTGCCCTCCTCTTAGGTAGCCACTGCCATATGTGGCTACTTCAGTTTGCACCAATTTGCACTAATTAAAATATTCTGTTCTGTAGTAATAACAGCAAAATTTTAGGATTTTAGGTGTTCAAAAGCCATATGTGGCTCAAGTGG